TAGATTATGTGCAAAGGAGGAAGAAGTAGAGATGGAAATTAAAAATAAATTGGTCGCTATTATCTTTTGAAAATAGTTTTTTCAATCACATTAGGGGTACCCATAAGTAACGTGGTTTTTTTTTAAATTTAATAAACATTGCCATCTAGTGACAACATAATCTATATTTCTAGTTGAACATATTGACATTTATTGTTCAATTATATTACAGATGAAAACTGTGTTAACTCTTGAATGAAATGAAATTTTGTACAAAACAATTTTATTTCATTTAAAATTTTTGTATGAAAAAACTACTCCTAATGCAAAGAAAATAGATTATGTGCAAAGGAGGAAGAAGTAGAGATGGAAATTAAAAATAAATTGGTCGCTATTATCTTTTGAAAATAGTTTTTTCAATCACATTAGGGGTACCCATAAGTAACGTGATTTTTTTTTAAATTTAATAAACATTGCCATCTAGTGACAACATAATCTATATTTCTAGTTGAACATATTGACATTTATTGTTCAATTATATTACAGATGAAAACTGTGTTAACTCTTGAATGAAATGAAATTTTGTACAAAACAATTTTATTTCATTTAAAATTTTTGTATGAAAAAACTACTCCTAATGCAAAGAAACTAGATTATGTGCAAAGGAGGAAGAAGTAGAGATGGAAATTAAAAATAAATTGGTCGCTATTATCTTTTGAAAATAGTTTTTTCAATCACATTAGGGGTACCCATAAGTAACGTGGTTTTTTTTTAAATTTAATAAACATTGCCATCTAGTGACAACATAATCTATATTTCTAGTTGAACATATTGACATTTATTGTTCAATTATATTACAGATGAAAACTGTGTTAACTCTTGAATGAAATGAAATTTTGTACAAAACAATTTTATTTCATTTAAAATTTTTGTAGGAAAAAAACTACCCCTAATGAAAAGAAAATAGATCATGTGCAAAGGAGGAAGAAGTAGAGATGGAAATTAAAAATAAATTGGTCGCTATTATCTTTCGAAAATAGTTTTTTCAATCACATTAGGGGTACCCATAAGTAACGTGGTTTTTTTTTAAATTTAATAAACATTGCCATCTAATGACAACATAATCTATATTTCTAGTTGAACATATTGACATTTATTATTCAATTATATTACAGATGAAAACTGTGTTAATTCTTGAATGAAATGAAATTTTGTACAAAACAATTTTATTTCATTTAAAATTCTTGTATGGAAAAACTACCCCCAATGCAAAGAAAATAGATTATGTGTAAAGGAGCAAGAAGTAGAGATGGAAATTAAAAATAAATTGGTCGCTATTATCTTTTGAAAATAGTTTTTTCAATCACATTAGGGATACCCATAAGTAACGTGGTTTTTTTTAAATTTAATAAACATTGCCATCTAGTGACAATAATTTAACTCATTGCAACATAATCTATATTTCTGGTTAAACATATTGACATTTACTGTTAAATTATATCACAGATTAAAACTGTATTAATTCTAGAATGAAATGAAATTTTGTACAGTATGAAAAAACTACCCCTAATGCAAAGAAAATAAATTACAGGAGGAAGAGATAAGGATGGAAATTAAAAATAAATTGGTCGCGTTACGGTGGGAATTATCTTTCGAAAATATTGCTACTTAACATATAATATATATTATATATTATATAATATACAATATATTATAATATAATATATTATATTATATATATTACATATTACATTATATTATATTATATTATATACATTACATATTACATTATATTATATTATATTATATTATATTATAATATATTATATTATCTTTCAAGCATACGAAAAAAAAAAAAATAGATTGCCGGTGAAATTCTTGCCTCGTACGAGCCTAATCCAGCATCCATACGTTCCAAGACAGTCCGGACAGAGATCTTCCAAAGAAGATGGAAGGAAATTAAAATTCAAGCGACGATCTGAAATTTTCGGTAGAAAATGGCGAGGCAGGCGTGTGTGGCGCTTTGGAGAGCGGTGGGAAATATTTGCGCGACGACGTTTTACATCGAAATGGACGTGTAACGGGCCTTTTTGGCAGGCGAGCCGCGTTCCAAGCGGATTGCCAGGACGGGATGCGGCGCGGCGCGGTGTGTCTCGTGTTTGCCGCTACCAAACTCGGCAATATTTAAATGGGATTGCGTTCGGGAATGTAATTGCTCGGGCAAACACGGCCCGTGAAACGTTGGGACGGATATGGACAGAGAGAGGAGCCCCGGGGGGCTGACAGACCGGGAAAACCAACGACGTTGGGGGTGAAGGAGAGAAATCCGACGTGGATGCGCAAACAGCAAAACGCAGAAGAAAAGAAAATGGTAGCAACAGCGAAGTGATAGAGGATGATGCGTGGAGGAGGAGGAGAATTTTCGTAATTTCGGGGATTGTACGATGGATTGCTGTTGGTCAGCAAGGAGCTTGCAATAGATGATAACAACGGCAAGGTAAAGTAATGACAGACGAATAATAAAGTAAGACGTAGACGTATATATAAAGAGAATAATAAAATATCGTGAAGTAACGAAATAATAAAGATTATTATCGATTTCCGATTGAGTTTCTCGTAACGCTTGGGAGAAACTTGCCTCGCGAAAGAGAGTTGAAAAAAAGAAGCGAAGAGGAAGAAGAAGAAGGAAGTATTTGTAGGATGTAGTTGTCAATTGCCACAGTTCCCGCGAGTGGCAATTTTTTCCACCGACAATACAAACACGCAAGTACGAAAGTTTTCGCCTATAGCTCCGGAGCGAGAGCTGCTTAAGCTCCACCGGCGTATCCGGTGAAAGAACCAAATACATAATCGAAGCCACCGACTCGCCGGCCAATCCAGGGACACGTGTGTATCATCGACCCCTAACCAAACCGTAAAAGACACGAAATCCAGGTGAATGGATCCGAAAAACGGAAAAAGAAGAGGCGAGCCGGCGAGACGGAAATGGAAACGGACAGGAAGAGGAGAGAGTCGTATTCATTGAATGACGCTTGCGTACGAGGGGATGAAAGAGAGAGAGAGAGAGAGAGAGAGAGAGAAAGAGAGAGAGAATCGGACAGCGATGCTTTCGAGAGAAAGAGAAACCAAGGGAGAATTAACACGGGGTGCAACGAGGATAACAGTGGGTAGTTGGGGGAGGGAGGGAGAGGAACAGGTAGAGCAAAGAGAAGGGAGAAGCCAGGCTAGATGGAAACGGTTGGAGAGGGAAACGGCCTATAACGCAGGCAGACGGAGCCAATCAGGGCGCAATGCGATTACCTTAACGAGAAATCCGATTACTTATTCATTCGCCTAACTCGAAATCAGTTTAACTAATCGTTTAATTCGGTAGCTAACCCACCCCCGCCCGCTCCCCTCCTCCCTCTCAGCCCCAGCATTTTCGAGAGAGACGTGGGTCGAATTCTCTCTCTCTCTCTCTCTCTCTCTCTCTCATTCCTCTCTGTGGATGTTGGTTGGGTGTGGTGGCCATGGGGATGGATGGATCTCTCCCCATCTAGCCTTCTCTGCCTGGCCAAATAGAGCCGCACACGCGCAACCACCACCGTCGTTTCTATACACGTGCTGTGCTACCCTTAACCGAGAGGGTAAGCGAGAGAGAGAGAGAGAGAGAGAGAGAGAGAGAAGGAGAGATACAAGCGGTGGGGAAACAGGCTAGGAGGAGAGAGGCCTCATTCAATTCAATTACGTAATGAATTGTCGTGTCTTGAGTAAACACCCTTCCTCACCGCGACTCGCCGCCGGAAAATCGCCGTACCGCACCGCGCCGCGCCGCGCCGGTTCAGGATATCTTCTCCTCGCACAGAGGGGACGTCGTGGTAGCTGCGTGTACAGCATCGTTCAGGTGTAAGCATGATGTTACGGCGATGAATTAGCAAAAGCTGGTGGAACAGTTTTAGGACGATATCGTTGAGTCGCTCTACCCTTATACTCGTTCTCCTTGATTTATCGTCAACAGCCAGCCCATTGATCGAGAATTTTATTTCATTGCTCAAAGAGATACTCATCTTTCTTGTTGCAAATTACTTGATTTCTCATTTTTGTATCGATTCTACGCAATCGCATTTCACTCTACCATGGTTTCCATTCTCACAATATTTCTCATTTCTCGAATCACGCGTCGATCAAAGTGCAATGCCAGTCAAGGTGGAGGCCAGTTTCATCTCTGTTCTCTAGTTTCTAAAGTTTTAAAAGATTTAAATTGAATTTGATGGAAATGGTAAAGATGATCCAGCTCGTCTCGCCTCTATCGCGACTCGTTTGCGAACATTTCTCTCTCGCGCCTTCAGCAAGCTTCCAGCATCTCCTCCGTTTCGCTTGTTTCCGCGTACATACGTACGTAGGTAAGTACTTAAGCAAGTCGCTACCCACTCGGTCGTTTTCCGTCGCGATGCATCCACACGTGGATGCGCGCGATATCGACGTTCCACCCCCCGGCGCTGCTTTCATCTCGTTTGCAGAGTCGGTATCAGCAATTCCGGTGTTCTCTTAGAATTAACAGGGCCGGGGTTATTCGGGGGTTTGCACAGGAGGCCAGAAACGGTCGGCGATCAAAGGAAATCGAATCGACATTAGCTCGTAACTGAAGCTAAATCGCACGTTTCCTGAGTCATTCTCGTCGTCCGTTCTCGTCCGCGCGACTATCATCTATCATGCGAGTTGTTTTTTTACTTTTTTTCTTGGAAAATGGTATGAGCCCGCTTTTGGCAAAAAATGAGTTAACGATAGCCTTAGCCAGGCACAGATGTGTCCTCTTGTGAAAAGATTCGATCGAAACTTGGGGATCGATCGATCAATTTTACAATTTCTTGTTGGGGAAATTTTTATCGACGCTGAGCCTGGTGTGCTGAGTCTCGATGTTCCTTTGTTTCTTTCGCACATTTTTGAGGACTAGATTTCCAATGTGACGCACAGCACGGACAAAAGGGCGATTTTCGTCCGTAAAAAAAAAAAAAAATCTCATTTTCCCTATGGCAATCATTCGACCCAGGTTCAAAATTTCCGGTGTAATGTCGTTAAAGGTATCGTTATTTAATTAATATGCGATAAATTCTAAAAAAGAAGGAGAGGAGGTTATGCAACTCTCGCAGGTTATGCTACAACCTAACAGAGCTTTCAAGTTTCCTTTCAATCGACAAGAATAAATGCATAAATGAATTACCATCGCCAGGAAAATGGGCACCAGGTACCGTTGTTCAACAGCTGTTCGTTGATCCAATCCGTGCTAAAGCGAAACGTCAGATGGTTTTGGTTCCGGAAGTCGAAGGATCGGCCGATCGAACGTGGCGCAAGCCGCTGTGGAGAACACTTGCCACCACCCATGGATCTCGTTTGCAGGGGCAGTCCCTCCAGGTGTCTCGAATTTGAGAGAGCTGAAAAGAAAGCAAAGGGTGGGTTCTTTCGTTTTAAAAAGCAACCAGAGACGCCAGGGGACAAGCCAAGCAATTGCAAGAAAGAGGAGAAACCTTCCAAGGAAGAGAGGTTCACTTGGCGGGAGACGATGTTTGGCCCAAGATCCAAGAAACTTTGGCCTGACCCATGCACCTGCAGGTTGGCTCAGAGAGAGAGGAAGAAGATGAGAACGCGTGATCCAAGACTGCGCGATCCGCGATACCAGCAAACCAATGGGGACGTTTTTCTGTACACAGTGCCAACGAGACGACGCTCGGTATCTTCTTGTTTGGAGCCACAACCGAAACCTCCGCCAGCCTACATGATGCCCAAAGCAGCGTTTGTCAAGCTGATGGCCGATAATTCTTACGTGGTGAGTGATGATACTTTTGTCGAGGTAGTCAATCAATGATATTCGATGAAATTCCGAAAATTGGCCAAAAAATTTCCTCTTCGATTCGTTGGCTATTCCTCATTTTTTTCTTTTTTTTTAGAATAAAAGAAACAATACTTTAGAATATGAGAAAATATCAGAACAGCTCATTTTTAACAGAATCATTTTTAACCTCTTAGCTGTGAATAACGAATACATTCGTCGTTGCACAAAAAATTGTTATTTCTTCGTGACGAGAAAAGTAATTGAATTGCAATTTGTTGCTTGAATTAAATTTTCTGCGGAAAATAGAACATATTTGTAAATTTTAGACATTCTGAAACTCGACTAGTTCTCTTCGCGTCATTTCTAAATATTTTCTTGCTATTAATATTAATTATTATTAATTAATAAATTAATATTGATTAAGTTAAACAATAAAAAGAGACTTTTAAAAAATAGTATCATTTCTTTATAATTTAATTCAATTTTACAATAGTTGCACATACTCTGTCAAGTACAATTGTCATGGCGTCGTTCTAGCGATATAATATAGATATATGTACGTATACACTTTTAAAAGCGGCACCACAACTAAGAGGTTAAGTTGATATCGGAAAGTTTTAAAAAATATACCAAATGACAACGATTATGTAAAGGAAAAATAAAGTGAAAGATTTGTCGATTTCTAGACGCTGCTTAATCGCCAGGCTATCGCGCAAAGACATGACATTGAGAAAAGTATGCAATTAGAACTGCGTAGCCTACCGTACGAAGAATTAAGACCGCCAGAAAGACAGAGAAAACCATTCTGTTCTCAATTAGGAATTCAATCGGAAAACGTACCTCCGCCGGTAAACAGAGACCTGCATTATTACGGAGGTGATGTTCGACGACAATCGGTCCAGGAACCTAACCTGTCAAACAAGTTGAAATCTTTGCAAACAAATCAAAAGAAATTACCCGATATTAGAAGCAATTTGGATCCTCCGATTGGAAAGCGATCTAGAATAGAGCAGTTGAAAATCCTCGTTAGACAGAAAGACGTGTCTCCCGTTGTCCATTGTTCCTTCGATACCGATTGACTCGCTACGACGAAACAACCGTGCGAATTCGAAATGTCAACCGAAGAGTAGACGTCGTTCAATGTCGAAGAACTGAAAGAACTCTGTATTTATCTTCAAATAAAAATGGTCGAAATTCAATATGTGGAATATTTATCATTTTGTTGATGATATACTCAGTCTCAAAGATAAGACGCGTGCAAGATGCACGAAGTAGCTAGCTAGATATTTCAAAGCGGAAAGCGGATATTTGAAAGCTGTTTGAAATATTGCGCCAAAGTAGATAACGGCGAGGCGCCATCTATCCCGACGTGGTTCCCTTCGTGTGATTCCTTTCGATGGCGGCGTTGTTGCTGTGTGTGGACCCCTATACAGCTGGCTACGGGGCAGTCAAATGTCTCGTAAAGGAATTCCCTCCGCTTGCAAGTCAAAACAAATCCCGCGTATCTTTCGTAATCGACGAGGTTTGTGCTCGATCCGTAGTTGGCCGCAGTGTGAGGCCGGAATCGCGAGCAGTCCGATAGGTTACAATCAATTGAGCTTGTTGTCTGGCTCGCCGGATGAGGACAAAAGAGAGGAAACGAGTAAAAAAGGAAAACAGGAGGAAGAGGCTAGGGACGACGAGGCTATACGGTATCGGGACAAGGTGTGGATTGAGGATAATCAAGCGACGAGCGGTAGTGTTGCGGGTGAATCGAACGTCGATATCGTTGAGATCGGTAAAGCTGCCGATGTCGAGACAGTAGCCGACATCGAGAAATGGTTGAAAACACGGTCGGAGTCGGTGTCGAGCATGGATCTCGACGCGATCAAGTCCGGGGTCGAGGAGGGCGTCGACCGGTACCTGGGCGAGGAGCTCCAGCACGCTTTTCTGGAAAAGGACCCTGACGGCTTATCCATCGACATTGACCTGTCTGACAAGAAGCTCAATTTAGGTTATGATCCTTTGCTGCAGGAGCTTCAGAGTGAGAAGCTGCTTGACGAGAAGGATAGCTTTATATTGCCAGAGTTTCAGCTGGATCATTTGGATCCGCTCGCGTTGTCTCCGGATGACATGATGGTGGCTGGTGAAATTTTACCCTCGACCAGTGCTCAACCTGCTTTGAGCGTCCCCAACAGCATATGTACAGAAACTGTGCAAACCTCCCTGATGAAGAAAGCCATAACTCCAGATAGCCAGGAATTGCAGAACAAATCTACCCAAGTTGTGGTGGATGATCTACGTTGCGTGGACAACACGACTAAAGAAATTGATCTGCAGAAGGACAGTGGCTTGTGTGATGCTACAAATCTCTATACGCAGGATGTTAATTCTGAAAACACAGTGGACGAGCTGTCAGATGCAAAATTGGACGAAGATGACTCTGATAGTGCAGTAGTTGAACAATTGAAAACGAAGTCTAAGGTAAAATTGGAACCACGTATTATTAAGAAACGTAAGAAAATGCCGGATACGATGGAAAAGAAATTTAACAATGAGATTAGGATATCTGGGGATGATATTGTAGATACTGAGAATGGTGTAATGGCTGTGGTAGCCATATCGACGGATAAAATTTCAAATATGACACAAATTGTTATAAATACCGGCACAGAGGAACAGATCTATCAAGGGAAAACTTCCGAACTTATAGAAGCTACAGGAAATTTTCCAAAATTACCAAAAATTGAAACCTCGACTGTGTGGAATGGAACGGTGGAACATACTGCGGAAAATCCAAGCAATCAACACGAAATGATAATATCCAATGCCTTGGAAGAATTAGGTATCACAGACGATAACTTGCAACCAATATCAGTTAATGAGCATGGAAAAATATGGCTTTGCCCGCGCGACGATTGCAATAGACAATTTAGCAAACTTTATGCTCTGAAAGGCCATTTACTAGCACACTATGGTGTGAGGCCCTTTAAGGTAATCTTTTTTATGTTTTTTTTTTACTTTGTTTGACCTTTTCTTCATTGGCATTTTTATTTTCAGTGCGACTTTGAAGGATGTGCCTGGGCATTTTATTCAGAATTCAAACTCAAAAGACACAAAGAAACACACTTGAAACGCAAAGATTATGTTTGCGAAGTAGAAGGTTGTAATCGCCGATTCACTACGATTTACAATTTGTGGAGTCACGCGAAATTGCATACACGCCCAAATAGAATAGTATGCCAAGTGCCAGACTGTCAAGAAAAGTTCCAGACGAAGAGAGCTCTGGAACTGCATATGAAGACTCATGATCAAAGCCATGCTCCGTACGTTTGCAAACACGAGGGATGTGGCAAAAGGTACTACAGTAGTAACGCTTTGACGTCACATCAAAGATGCCATAGCTATAAGGAGGTAGATGTAAAATGCTCGTGGCCGGGTTGTGGAAAAGTATTCGATAAGCCTTGTAGGTTGAAAGCGCATATACGTTCGCATACAGGCTGTAAGCCTTATCCTTGTACGTTTCAAGGTTGCCAGTGGGCATTCTCTTCCTCTAGCAAATTAAAGAGACACCAAAAGAAACACACTAACGAACGAAAGTTTGTGTGCGATATTCCATCATGTGGAAAAGCATTCATGAGGTCAGAGCATCTCAAGGAGCACAGATTGACTCACAAAGAGGGGAGGTACTTTCAATGTTTTATATGTAACGCGAAATTTTCTGCAAAAAGTAGTTTGTACGTTCACATAAAGAAGCATCAAGTTAAGGAAGAGGTAGAAATAAATTCGCACGACGATGTCAATAGTCGATCCAAAAAAATACCATTGATAATAAAATCAAAAAGAAAGTCAATAGATCTGAATGTAAATGTATCTTGTCTGAATACGTCTACGAAAAAATCTGATCGCGATGATACGATAATTGAAAATAACGATGAAAATCAAACTAAAAACGATATAGTGCCTCCACGAGATCCATCTAAAACCTTATATCATTGTCCAGTCGAAACGTGTACGCGTTCATATACCACAAAAGCCACGCTAAGAGCACACATGTTAAAAGTACATGGCACTCCTGTTGAAGAGTGTAATAAAGCAGCTAATAAAACGCCTGAAGATTCCGTTTGTAACATGGATTACATTTTATATACTACTCCGTCTGTATCGGAGCCTACAGAGCAAATGATAATGGTAGCACCGTGCGATGCGGTTATTCTCAGCACGCCCTCGGGAACAGATCGCTCTCTTCCTGAACCGGAACCGCCACCTCTTAACAACTTAATAAAAACATCGGAATCCTCGTCAAACACTGCTACGCACAAGCAATTATTCAATCAACATGTAAGAAAAGATCAGGGCTCCGCACGGACTGATTTGACGTTCTCCGACGTGTGGAAATTAAAGAAGACGAATGGTGCTGTATTAGATTCGGTCGTCGGAGCATCCGATGTTGTATTAGGTACAAGTGAATTAGAAGAGGGTTTGTTGCTCACTGAGGAATTGCCTTCGATGTATTATCAAGACGATGTAGTGGGAACAGAGTATCAGGTACTGTTGCTCGATTCAGTATCATCAGAGAATACAATAAATCTACGGGGACTTGAGTAATGATATGTGACTGTGCTTTGGAAATGGGTAAAAAAAAAAACTGATCATTGTTATTTTCTAATGTAGGCTAAGTTTTAATATGGTCTGTGATCAAAGGCTCGTTTTGGCCTTACATTCATTTATACTACAGTCCATAATTGCTTCAAATCGTTATTTTATTAATAAATTATTGCTATTTTTCCAAAAAGTTTATTCACTGTTCTTCTATTGTATATAAAATTCCTAGAACCTTGTGTATATAATAGCCAATGTATAATAAAATTTGTTTACTAGAATTAAGAAATTGAATACACATTTTGTGATGTAAGTAATTTACATGTTATAAACTTCATACATTGAGGATTTTTACTAATTGTATAATAATTCTATATAGTTCAACATTTAATAAAACAAGATATACCAAAATATCAATGAAAATAAAAAAAATCTGGAATGTTTTTATAAAATTGGTATATAATACAATAATTAAAAAATAATTGGATAGAACACAAGACATTCAATTAAATACTCTCGTACCTACAAATGCGTGTATTTGCATGAATTTTTATTCATAATGTACTTTTATAATTAGCTAAAACCAATGCTTTAACTAACAAAATTATTAGCTGTACATTTATCTATTTGACAGTATATTTCCTAAATTGAATTTACATTACAATTCTAAATCGCTTTTTACAATAACGTATAATGTTTGTTAAAAATTTGTTTAAATACTACTATATGATTATGAATATGATAATCGTGCACATACACACATGTACATTTTTACGTTAATACTTTAATTTCGTTTAAATTTATCGCCGATATGATATAATTTTCATTAAATGAAAACTTCATTAAACAAAAGGATTCACTTCCACCATTTAGGCACTATTTGCAGTAAACGATTAATAATAAAAAAATTAATTTACCTAGAAAGATATATAGATATAAATATGTGTTAAATACACATACATACATATATATATATATATATATATATATATATTAGTACCATAAATATATATTTATACTTCAAATTATAGTTTTGAACGGTACAAATATTAATGAAAAATATGAGTAATATTTCATTTTAGGACTGAGTAAAAATTGCCTATTATCGTCAATTTTCAAACAATGTCGGCATGTTTTTCTGTACTAGAAATCTGTGTTTCCGCATACGGTTTTCCTAATTTCTTGTCAACCTTTAAATACAACCAACTCTTTATTTTCTCTAGGAAACAAAACGAGGAATGTAATATGGACATCAAAATAGCTTCGCCTAGGCACACTAACGAAGCTTGAATAGGCTTTTTCCAATCAAGAACTTTGTATATGTAATGGTAACCATTCTTGTCCAAACCTCCGATTAAATAATATATTAGCGAAAACACCGTATACAAAAATACTATGATTAAACACCACCAGATGTTCCTTAGTCGAAATGGAATGCTCGTGACACAAAAATCTATTATCATCAATACGCTGTTACAAATGTGTAACATGATGTTCAGAGGATCCAAATGGTGAATCCTGGGATCGAATATGCTACACCAATAGGTAATAGTAACGCCAAATGCGGTACTAGTAGTTACAACATAAAGATACCAGTAAATTTTGTCTATTGATCCTAGCATTAACGCAGAAGGATCGAAGTCTGATATTTTTTGCAATTTCCATCTTCTCAATACGAGAAAACAGCCAAGCAAGGCTTGACCAACGCCTAATACTAAATCCCAGTTGGTCAAATAAATTGGCCATGTATCGTATACTGACATAGGGTTTTGGCTACCGATTTCGAAAATTGAACATACTAAAATACAAGCCCAGGCCAAAAAAATTAACCAACGATACAGTAGATACCAGGTAGCTACATGTTTCTGACATTTTGGTTCGGAGAAGACTCGCGGATGAGGTGGTTGATCCTTTCTATAAAACCACTTCCTTGCTGCTTCCTGGCACCAGAATTTATTTACCATTGCTCGACGACCTGCAAATAAATAATATTTGTCACTAATCACGTAGAATGTTTATAAAAAATTGTTACGTACAGTGAGGAAAATACTGTTCGCCGTGTAACGTTATCAAAACAAATGCTGCTGCGCGTGTTAAAAATTGCGAAACATTGAAATCGAATTGCTGTCATAATTTCTACTATCTGTGTGTAATTAGTGACAATTACGGTAATTAGAACCCTATCATTTCATTTTAAAAGTACAAGTGATTATCCTGTTATAATAGACATGCGTGTTCGTTCATTTCCGGTGAATTTCCCGCTTAAAAATTTTGAGCAATTCAAAACCGTCGATGGCAGCCGATATACAAATTTCACACTGTCTCTATACAAATTTTAATTTCTTGTGCAAAAAGAAAGGATAATTGTAATACTTCGGATAGTCGTGATACTTTATGCAATGATAAATATTGTGTTGTGACAGAATCGTACGTACAAGGTAATTGCGTAATGTTGCTCTCGAAAATCGATAATATTAAAAAAATAACTTACATAGCGAACATTGTAGGAGTGAAAACAGAAATCGTTTTGGAATCACCAAACTGCTAAACAGCGTTAATACCATCTTTTACACAAAAGTCTTATTCAGGGTCTGACAAGTCGAACATAACCTCTACACGTGATTAGTAACCATACGGGTGCAGCCATGTTAAGTCTATTCAAACAAGTTTCATTTTACCGCGGAAAGCAGCGCTTATTTGAACGTTGCGATTTCTAAGTAAAGATAAAATGTGTCAATTTTTCTGTCAGTACTTATCAGTGACTAAATACGAAAAGCATTGATTTTTTCCTCTGTTTAAATACAGATGCTTGTATGTAGATGTTACATTTTAATGTAATTTAATTGTTGGTGAAACAGCGAAACATACTGAAAGGCATAAATATATTTTATATGTATGATTTATAAATTGTAACAGGTTAAGCAAGTAAGAAGCAAGTCACGCCTCTTATTCGAAAGATTGGAACGATTGAGGTGGGACAGCCGTGTAAAATCCTTAATCGCATTGTCCAGACACCGGCGCAGATGGAAGCTGCTTTGAAGTAATTAACCCTGTTAACCCATGGCGCTGAGGTTCGCACGGACAGCGCTGTAAGCTTACGCACCGCGCATATATACGTAGATGTGTAGAGGTCGTGACAGCACGGTCAATCGGCCAATACCAATTCTCTGTTAATTTATTACAATCTTCTATTATTATCACTACGGTCATACACAAGTACAGGTGGAAATTTTTCTTCGACGATAAAAGCCTCGGGAATTAACATTATTTATAAAACAGCCATTTCTAGAAGTCAGGATTAACGAATGACGAAGGTGGCGTAGAAATGAAGATTTTCTAATCACGTGTTACACTGAAAATTCGATTAATCAATCGATTATCTCATTCGGAGAATTAATAATATGAAGAGTATGCGATGGCGATTAAATAAATTCATTGGGGAATTTATGTAAGACACACACATCGCTTCACTGAAAAATATCACCAATGCTGAAAGGAAACTATCCTAACGATAGAAGCTTAAGAAGATATTCTAACTGAACACAGATCTGTTTGAGATACGAGGTACTTCCCTTATCTATTTAATCACATGTGCAATACTTACAACTGATATGCGTATGAAACTAGTGATTCTTGAATTAACGAAGAAACTGACGCTCCCTCAATTCAAATTGAACGACGATTCGTTGTCACTGACACCTGACAGAATATTGCGTCATCACTACAGTGATTTCATCAATATCGATAACGTGCTGATCTGTACATCATGTTTTTGAATTATAAAATCTGACATTAAGAAACTGAATAATAAAATATGGAACTCGAAGAAGATAAATAATCCATACTTCAATTAACAATAATTTTGTTTATATAACAAAACATTGTAAGAGGGATGAAGCAAAAAAAAAAAAAAAGAAGAAGAAGAAAAGGAAAGAAGAAATAACGTAAACAGATCACGAACCGAATTGTTGACCAGAGTAAAGCAGACTCCTAACCGTTGATGGTTGCGACACGGACAACGTATTCTTCGATTTGGCCGATCCTCGACCACCATAAACACACGATCTGCCTGCACGATAGAACGCCTGACCCGTCACTGACCAATCTCCTGGCCAAAACCCTATACCATGAGTATGAAATCAATCCAATCTGTACATTACCCTTTCCCTTCCTCCACCCTTTGCTAACTGTGTATTTAAACAGCCCCTGAACGACCAGCTTCACTGCACACGTTCACCGAACGTACGGTACTTCTTTTCGTCCAGCCATCACGGTTGACGGCGTTCATTCTGAAAGCGCATCTAGAGTTCCACTTCATTATTTTCAGAAAATAAATACGTACATACACACGTATAGAACTATTCGTTTCATCGTTTTGATGATCCGTAATTATTTGGATTTAAATGATTCAAATCTTTCCATGAATATCTGTCCACATTTTTCCAAACGTAGAAAAAAGTATATGTTTACCAGGGATTGACGTGCCATTCGAAAGTTCAAAAGACGGCAGTCCATTATAAGTAGCTCTAATCCAATATGTACGTAAAAATAGAAGACACGCATTAACCAAATACTCGCATTGAATGATTTCTAAGACTTTATTTGAGAAATGGAGACTCCTTGCAAAGGAACATTAGAAGACAATCAAATTGGCACACAAGCTGCAATACCACTAATCAAGTATACTCAAGAATTTTTCTTCGGTGTCTTACAAAAATAAAACTTACAATGTGGTCCTTTCATTCTTCGACGTCACAAGCAAAAGTTGATGAAAAATTAATTTAAATCTTTGAAGTAATTGTGGAATGAGAATATTAAGACAACTTGAAGAACTCTCCTATTGTCCAATTACAATAAATATTTCATTTTCCAGGTACCGATTCTTAAATTCCAAACAATTTTCTCCACGTTACCTCTCCTCCTACATAATCTTCCCGTTAATAGAAGAAGAAAGACAGACACATCGAAGTACACAACTGTAAACCTCCACAAGAACGCTGGCTTATTTATTCCTTCAAAAATCCAGGGAAACAGCCTTCGGAATTTTTCTTCTAATCTTCGGAATGATCGAGGAACACGCTTAGCGAGTAACACGTGTTGGAAAACGTCTGTTACGTGGCGATGAGTCGGTTGCAGCAACGCGACGCAAACGTAACGAGGAAGAAGGAAACGAAAAAGCAAGGGGAAGAACGAGAATTAACGTTCGCACCGCATTGTGTTACTGAAGTTACTGAGAACTGCAGATGTTCTTTGATCTTGTTGTCGATGCAGGAAATCTTCTCCGGCACGTCATGATCGTCTATTTCCTCACACTCGGGAGGCATTTGAGTACGGACTCCTGTTCTAACGTACGTCTGGCCCGTGACTGCCCGGCAACCGGCTCCGCGTGCTTTAAATCAATATCAATCGCTATGCACCAGCTGTTCCTTCCATGGTATACGGCACTGTATTCCTCGCGAACACCTTTTCGGTACGTTCTGATAATAATTGCTGGTAGGTTCCCTATTTTCATAAACGACGTACCATTGCCAGTGGTTCTATGGTGCATGTATTGTACCATTGTCTGATATCTTCGGTGTCTTTCTTCATTATCAACAAACAAGGTTGGCATTGATGGAATGGAATGTTTTTTGGCATAATTTTCCTCGCATAGAATGTACAAGAGGTACACGCGTAAATAGCATTTTTCAATGTCCAAATTAACACGCGTGTCTGTCTCTTCGTTTTAATCGTTGTTTTATTTTATTAAATTTTTACGAGAGAGCCAACTCTCATGGTAATTGAATAAAAATTCTAATCCAATGTCTGAGACTCGACGATGGAAAATGAATTCATAAGAAGCTTACATAAAAATTAAGTAAACAAATTTTAATTAATTAAGATAAAAATTAAACGGCGATTCATTGAATAGATAATTTGGTTAATTTGGCTTGTCAGCTAACTCACGTGTTTTTAAATTCTTACGTTTTATCGTAATATCCTTGCTTTTAAATACTGTTTAAACGCTTTATCGTAAGAAATATCGTAATACGTACAGGTTGCTGGGGTGTCGATCGGCTTTATTGCGAAACCTTATATGAAAATCAATTAATAAAAGATGACAAGGCAGGTTTTATCGGTCGCGGCAGAAAGCTTCATTAGCACAAAAGAAGAAGATATTATCTTGATTGTACAGTAATCATCTGAAAGCACGCCACGCTTTAAGTTATTGTTTTCGTTTGAACGCGATCTTTTATCAGTTCATACAGTAACTACAAAAAGTATTTATGCACACCATTGTATCATTTATATGTTAATTAATCAGGTACAAGTACCTGTGTGAAATATAAATTTTAAACCTATGTAATTAGGTTCTACAGTTAAAATATTCTATATTTAAACTGCAGAATAGTAATATTATATGACTGAAAACATGTTTGAGTGAAAGAGAAATGATTTTTGCAGCTACTTGGTTACCCTGAAACAAGTACTATTGCTTTGCTCGTTATTTACTGTAAGGAAAATTTTTTATCAATTCTTTGCTAATAAATATGCTTTTACAACGTTCACTATAAATAAAAATAATTTATTACTTGAAAGTTTTTTATAAATTTTCTAGACACGCGTCTAGAAGTAGAGCTGCGATGAGTTCCTCGAAGCTGAACTTTGATTTCAAAGTGTAACGTACACCAAGCTACATCTCAAAGATCTTTGTGGACTATAGTATATAATTCAACTCGTAAATTACTTTATTTAAATACAGTAGTCTAGACCAAACGTGGAAATTACCGCATATATATATTTAAAATTTTCATTTCAACTATGCAGATTGACTGAACAGATAAAAAAATAAATAAACCGAGCTATGAAACGATTGGCCAGCTTAAAATCAGCAGACTTTCGAGAACGTACACAATGTTCTACCGTTCAACCGCTGTAGGATGATGAAGTATTGAATGATCTTACAATAGTAAGCAACAACGATGCAGCAATTTTACTAACTGCAAACACGTGCGCAGTAGGTAGCCTTCTGAAATTTATTAACTTATGATTTCGTCAAATGATTGCAGATGTTTATTAACGTATGAACGAATAATGGTGAATAATTTGTACAAATATTCCCTCACGGCAGAAATTTCATCAGTGCTTAGTTATTTAATTTTAATAAGCGTGAAACGATGCCTCAAATTTCCACAAAAATGTAACTTCTGCATTCTGTAACGACTACATTTTTCTTTTCCTTTTTTTTTTTTCCTACAGAGATCTCCGGTTACCCATGTGCCTACGTGTGTCTCGTAAGCGGTTTACGTATCATCAGCTACCGCTAGTAAGACGTTTTATTCGATTAATACCATGCTTGAGGATTCACAGATGCCTCTCTTCTCATAGAGACTTCTAATTGTATTGAGGTAAAGTAAAGTAAAATTCCTATTAAAGTAAAAAAATTCATTACGTGCGTGTTGTGTACGAAGTCATTAAATGGCGTTTTATTTTCATAAAATTCCAAGTGAGGAGAAATTGCGGCCAATGGAGAATGTCAAATTTGCAGGATTTAATGGATCGTTCCAATTAGGCATTCCGATGAAAAGACTTCCCAACAGTTGATCAAGATACGTGCGCACGTGGAACAGGTATCTGAAGATGCAGTCATGGCCCAAACCGAGGACCACTATTTTATAAATATACAGGACCACGCGGGAGAAACATAGTGAAACTCTTGAAAGACCGAACTTCGTGGCTCGCCGGCTTACGAGACGGCGCGCCGTTCGTGTACCAAAAATAAACGAGACATCTTGCCGGTCTTTCGAGGTACAGAAGACTTCGGGACGCGAATGTGCAGCCGCCGGTTTAGATTCACGAGATACAGAAAACGAAGTGAAATGATGTACCGGAGTTTACGATATCTCATTTGCGGTTAAATCCAGGCGTAACGTGAATCTCTACCTTCGAGACAATGCAACAGAGACTGCTCAATATCCGTTGGATCGTTTTCATCGTTTGCTTCCTACTATGCACCGGTTGCTTAGCTAGAGATGGGTACACGTGAGTAATATTGATCTTTTGGAAAAACAGCGTTGCTTTGAATGTGAAAAACTATTGACGCGTGCCGTGAAACGAATAGAAATTGATCTTACTACCTACTCTGATTGATCGTTATCGATTTACATTATTCCCATTAGACGTTGAAGTGCAAAAGTGAATTTAAAATATTGCTTTGCGATAATTCGAAGAGAAATACTTTCGTCATTTTTCAAATGTTCTTGTTAATTAAATAATTACTATTCGACAAAAACACGTGCAGTGTACGTTACATAAATTGTTATTTTTCAAACTAATGATTGTTGTTCGATGTATGTGCATAAAAATGAACAGGTATTTTACATATAGTTGAATAATTTATTTAATTATTCATTTGGAATTTTCTAATTTGGAGTAATAATCGAGAAAAATGTTATCGTTTTTATCGTTAGAGTCACGCGATGGGCAGAGACCTTGGGCGCCGAATTATGGGAACTTGCAGAAAAGGTGGCGCGACCCGAGGAGCTATTAAGCGTAAGTATGATCTTCGTGCACGCATCTCTACCTCTATACACAAGCTCTCCCTTTCTCTGTCTGCCTGTCAGTATTCGTGTAACTATTTTTGTTACGCCTCCGTACGTGATTACTGTCACTTAACAGAAATAGAAGAGCGAGAGAGAAAAGAACGGTAAAGAAGAAAGACTTGAGAAAAGGATATGAAAAACAATCAATGTAAAAAAGAAGAAAGGAAGAAAGAGATGCAGAAGATAAATATAACACAGATGAGTAAATGAATATTTTTTTGTCCCACGAAGTTTATCAACTTCCAGTAACCAAAATACCAGAAAATCTCGTATAGTTGCCAAACTTTTCTTTTCATAAATATAATTTGCTGAATGTGAATTCACTTTTTAACAAGTCATCACGATGGGATATAAATAGGAATACAAGGAATGTAAGTAGGAATACAAATGTTGCATTTATATGAAGAAAAAGTATATTAGGCCTCATAAGAAGTTAAAGACACATAAGAACAGTTATGAAAGTATAATAGTAAATATTAAGGCCAACGATATATATGATATGCTAAAACTAGTTAAAAATAATTAAAAATCCTGTTCTTTGTTTTAAATTTAAAATATGCTTTTTATATACATATTTTTCTTTTCTTTTTTTTTTTTTTTTTTT